ATTCTGCACTGTGACCCTCCATTGCAGAAGCTGGCTGGACAGAGATTTTTCTGGGATGGTAAAACACACAGAAAGCACATTTTAGGGAGAATCTTCTTGGGCCTGTAGTTTATTGTTCTGTATAAACCTTTCTACAGCTTAGTATATAGTAGCCTCTGCAAGTCCTAATAACAGTTATCATTTTTTTGCAGTGAATTACATGTATACTTGTATTATTGTTCAGTAATTATCCTTCCATTCATTACTAAGTGTGATTTCACAGAAACTCTGTGGGCCTGACAGGGCAGGTTACAGGAGCAACAGCCTTTTTTCTTCCTTAAGTGCAACCCAATGTTAATGTCAGGAGCAGCCCATTTTGTTAAAGGTGAGAGATTGACTTACGTTCGCTATAACTTACCTTAAACGTGAGCTACCACATTTCTTACGACTTGGAATTTGTTCAGCTCTTTCTCTTTCCAAACCCTGATGTATCTATTTTATCTTATCCTTGCATATATTTTCGCCTTTCCCATATTTTGAATCATTGTTATTCTTCTTTTGCTTTCTTTCATTTTTTTTCACCTTCTTCCTCTAATTTTGTTCCACACATAACAGGGAATTAAGTTGACTCTAGATGTAGATTTGGAGGGCAAATTTTCTCTAATGCCCAGCAAGAACTAGGTGTAAAACCTGAGATATCTTCTCACTGGAAGATAATTAATCAGGACTCATATAAATGATTGCAGGAGCTCTGGTGATATAGGGATTGTGTATTGGGCTGTGATCTGAATGGTCAGCATTTGAAATCACCAGCCTCACTGTGGGAGAAAGACTAGGCTATCTCTGGTAAAGAGTTATAGTGGCAGTCCTACCCTGTCCTTAATGGTCTCTGGGTCAGCATTGATGCGATGGCAGTGAATTTGAATTTGTATTATAAATTATATGAGAATTTTCTTTTATGCAGGTACAGCCTATTGTAAAAGCTAATGATAGAGAAGAGGATCAGCTGCCATAAAGATCTTTAACGGGGAGGTAGAGCATTACAATGGATTGGTGTTAACCTAACCTCTCAACCACAAACGCTCTATTGACTTTCTATATGAATGAGGGGGTACCCAAAACAACCTGGATATTTTTCAAAGCTCTATATTTAATTTTTTTTACAAAACAACCTTATCACCTTCAAAGTACTCTCCATTACACTTAATATATTTGTCAAATCTGCGATTCCATTCTTGGAAACATTTTTCAGACTCATCTGTTTGGAAGGCTGACAGCACCTCTCTCATTTTTTTCTCACCTCTGCTAAGTCATTAAGTCGCTGTCCTTTAGTTGCACAGGGCGAGGTCAGGTGATTAAGGTATGAGAAGTATGCCCCAAACTGGTGCACTGAGATGGCTGTGTGATCAGGCGCAGTGTTGCGATGGCAAAACCAGTTCCCCATCTGCCACAGGCATTTTTGTTGCACACTGTTATGCAATCTTTTCAGAGCCTCTAAATAGAAAGCTTGATTCACCGTCTGACCTGGTGAAAGGAACTCCAAATGCACTATCCCCCTCACATAAACAAAACAAAACAAATGAGCATCAGTATTTTGGGGCGGAGGGTACTCCTTAGTACATGGATATAATATGGGATCTATACACATGAATACTTGCTAATTGATAGTACATGATCTCTCCATGTTTTATAGTTCCAGTCATTTTCTCTATATTGCATATTTCTCCTTCTTTCCTTCCTATTCTGTTCTCACTAATTTCTATAATGACAGATCAATATCTATGACCTTTGCATAACTCTCCCTACATATATTCTACTTTCAAAATTGTTTAGCAATTTCCCCCAAATACTCAGCTAATATTTGTCTTACTATTTATTTGGTATGTATTGTGAACTACTTTATATTGCACTTTCTATGTGTGTAATTCATGTTTTTCCAACTATTTTCTTGAGTTTCTTTCTTTCTTTTTTTTACTAATGAGAGAGAAAAAAACAATAATATGAAGAATTTCCAGTAAAAGCTATTAGAGGATTTTAGTTGCCCGTTAGAGAAATAAATTTCAGAAATACTAAAAACCAAACCAAACTCACTGCCATGGAGTCGATGATGATTCGTAGTGACCCCTGTGGGGTTTTGACGCTGTTTGCAAGAGTGGAAAACCCAATTGCCTCCCAAGCAGATCGCAGCCCAAAGCATAACCAATACTCCACCAGGGGTCCAGAGAAATGTTAAAGGATAAACTTATTAGAAACACCATCTTGAGTTTTTCTTCTCATAATTGTAGTGACCAATTGTATTTTGAAGAAATTATGGTGAGTACATATATTGTGTAGGCAATGAATGCTTTCCCAAATATAATTAATTATTGTGCTCATAAAGCAATTTTAATTCGGTTCATTTTTATGCAATGTTTAAATATTGTTATGCCATTTATGTTGTGTTGTATAATGTACATACGTTATGTAACTTATTATTAGTATGCACACTCTATAGATGTTTATGATTTGTTTGGTTTTAACCAGGAAAAGAAATCACAATTTTGAGTTTTGAAATTTGCTTGTTTTATCTGATTATTTTCTTTAGATTGTTTCAATATAGAATAAGAATCAATAGACTTGGGTTGTGGTCCTTAATTCTATCAATTGTGTGACTATGAGAAGCATTGCTTACTTTCATGGCTCTCCTGCTCTTTTGGATCTGAATAATGGCCAACCTGGACAAAATGCGTCTTAAATGATTCTGTGCCTTGCGGACAGTAATTCCCATGACCCTTTCTTGATCCCCATCCTACGATTCCTGTCCTCCTCCTAGTGCTTCCACTCTTTCTTATGTATCTTCATCCCATCAATGATTTTCCATGATGATCTCAATTTCCCAGTGAACAACATATGTGCCTGTTCTAGATTCTCATTTTAGCCCCCAAGGGTTTTGTAGCAACTTGAAACCATGGATTTATGGCTCAGCATGTGATGGTATAATCACTCAGGTTGGGTGAATACATACAGATTCATGCCAGTGGTGGTGACTCTGAATTGGGGTCAGGATAAGTGAGAGCCCCTGTGAGTTTTGCGGATGAACCAAAAACTTAATTGGATGGCGTTTTGTGACAGGATATATGAAGCTGTGGTTACAAATATGAAAGAAGACAGTATACCTGTTTGACCACAGCCCAATAACTCCTAAAATCATGAATCTTAATTGTTTTCAGGAACTACTCTGCTGTAGATCAAAGAGTATGGTGGGTATATGGATACTGATAAATATAACTTTGTTCCTTGATCACCTCCCACTCCATACATAAACATGATATTTATTAAAGGACTAAATCTCCAGTGTCACATTCTGTATTTTAAAGCTTAAAAAATGAAGAAGAAAAGTCCTATGCCTTATTATATGCTCCTTATTAATGCTGCACATCCACATCCCTCTTACTTTATACTCATGAGGTAAAAGAATGGAATTACAAATTTCCTTGAAGATAGAATATTTCAGTGGATTTCAGTTGAATAAGCACGGTAATGCCACATAACAGAATGGGCCATGATACAGGAAGAATTGAATACTTTAAAAGATGGAAGATACCAATTAACATGAAAAGTAATAGCAAGAGGAGGCTGAGACGCTGATGAATTAAAATTTAACATTTCAATTAAGTTCAATGCTGGTCCTCAAAACTTCACATGTATGGATAGTCAGAAGCTGTTTTCACAGATAATTTATATACTCTATGGCCACTGAGACATGTACCTTAATAGCAAAGCTGTTAAAATCTCCCCAATTATATTTATTACGTGTTGCCCGTTAGTGTGAAAGACTAGATGGTATAGGTTCCCATGAAAGCATTACTAGATATTGAGGCAAGTTTAGAGCTTTGTAAGTATAAAGCGTTGTGAATGAATATGATACAGTTGTGAATGTGATGGGAAAATATATTTTTAATTTCATTAGGGGCTCACACAACTCTTATCACAATCAATACATCCATCCATTGTGTCAAGCACATTTGTACATTTGTTGCCATCATCATTAGAAAGCATTTTCTTTCTACTTGAGCCTGGTATCACCTCCTCATTTTTCCCCTCTCTCCCCACTCCCTCCTCCCTCATAAACCCTTGATGATTTATAAATTATTATTATTTTGTCATATATTATAATACTTTTATATAAGTCTCTACACTTCCCCTGTTGAGGGCTCTATTTTACAAAGTGTTGCTATGAGTTGGAATTCATTTGGTGGCACCAAATAACAATAACAGATTCGGTCTTAGTCTACACCCTATTTAACTTAATCATACATCTCAGGCTACTATTCAATTAGCAATTCATCTGTTAATGTTTTACCTTCATCCATGCTTTTTGTCAGAGAGATATGAAAGTAAAAAGTAGAGCGTGAAAGAGAATGTATGAGAATACACATAAAAGCAAAATGGAATAGGTTGGAAATGTGGACTAGTCAACACCAGAGGCTATTTAAATCATTGGTGCATGCCAAAGATATACATCAATATATTTTTCTTGTCCAATTATCTGGTGGTTCTATGGTTAAGTATTTCACTACTAAAGGAAAGACTGGGAATTTGAAAGAATAAACTATTCTCTAGGAAAAAGTTTTGACAATCCATTTCTGGAAAGATTTGCTACCTTGCAAACCCTATAGGGCAGTTCTACGCCATCCTTTATGGTTGCTGTGAATTGGAATAGACTCAGTAGCAATGGAAAACTTCTGTTAGGGCTTCCTTGTTGCTTTGTGCTTGACTACTAACATCTAGGTTGGTAGTTTGAACTGACACAGTGTAGCTGTGATGGAAAGAACTATCCATCTTCTTCATAAAGATTGCAGCCAAGCAAACCTCCAGAGCAGGTCTGCTCTATAGCATATGAGGTAGAATTCATTTGATGGCAATGTTTTGTATTTTATTTTAATTTTCTGTTAAGTTAAAGAACTGAATCATTATGTACTTTTGGTTCATAGCAAGGACACTGAAACACAAATGATTTTAAGATATATTATTATCATAATCAAAATTTCCTCCTTATTTTCATAGTTCTCATAGTTTCAGTGGCAGCCCTGTTGGCTGGATCAATGGATGGAGGGAATCACTCTCTGGTGTCTGAGTTTGTGTTTCTGGGACTCATCAACTCTTGGGAGATCCAGCTCCTCCTCCTTGTGTTCTCCTCTGTGCTCTACGTGGCAAGCATGGCTGGAAACATCCTCATTGTGTTTTCTGTGACCACCGATCCTCACTTACATTCCCCCATGTACTTCCTGCTGGCTGGTCTTTCCGTCATTGACATGGGAGCCTGCTCTGTCACCTCACCCAAGATGATATATGACCTTTTAAGAAAGCACAAAGTCATCTCCTTTGGAGGGTGCATCACTCAAATCTTCTTCATCCATGTCATAGGCGGTGTGGAGATGGTGCTGCTCATCGCCATGGCCTTTGACAGATATGTGGCCATTTGTAAGCCTCTCCATTATCAGACTATTATGAGCCCAAGAATGTGCATGATTTTTCTTGCTGCTGCTTGGGCTCTTGGTCTCAGTCACTCACTGTTCCAACTGGCATTCATCATTAATTTACCCTTCTGTGGTCCTAATGTACTAGACAGTTTTTACTGTGACCTACCCAGGCTCCTCCGACTCGCCTGTAGAGATACCTACAGACTACAGTTCATGGTCACTGTCAACAGTGGGTTTATCTGTGTTGGTTCTTTCTTCATACTTGCCATCTCCTATGTCTTCATCTTGTTTACTGTTTGGAAACATTCCTCAGGTGGTTCATCCAAGGCCGTCTCCACCCTGTCAGCTCACATCACTGTTGTTATTTTGTTTTTTGGGCCAACCATGTTTGTCTATACGTGGCCACACCCCAATTCCCAGATGGACAAATTTCTAGCTCTATTTGATGCTGTACTCACTCCTTTTTTAAACCCAGTCATCTACACTTTCAGGAATAAAGAAATGAAGGCAGCAATGAAAAGAGTATGCAAACAGCTCATAATGTACTGGAAGATCTCATAAATTATGTGATAAAATCTTCTCATTCACCACAGGCTAGCTTTAGGCTTTCTTCTTTGATATTTTGGACTTGAGTTTTGAGGCAATATTGATTTGACTGTCAGCAGATTAGTCATAAAATTTTAAATCCGTTAACATGCAAATTTTTTGTGAAGAGCAAGTCTCATGAAAACAGTATATCTTTATATTTATGTAAATCCTGTTTAATCCCTTTCAGCAATACTTTAGAGTGAATGGGTCTTATAGTTCTTTTTTGAGATGGATTTATGTATTTAATAGTTTAGAGATTATTTTAAATGGAATTTTTTAATGTAATGGGGCTTTAAAAAGTTTGTAGAAAAAAAGATTAAAATTTCATATCATGCTCCCATAACATTTTGGAGGCCCTGCCCAAAGAAATTCTTATTTTTGTAACTGTATGCTGTAATATTGAAACAGTTATTAGTTTTAACATTTTTATAGGTTATATATGATTTTAATAGATGATCATATATTTTGTAAATAAAAATATTTTTACCTTTCAAATTCCAACAGAGATTAATATTATTCACCTTTATTGTCTTATTGCCCTTGTTGCGTGCTCCAGAAGGGTGTCTCTGTTTACTTTGGAAACATCATTATCATTTTAGGTTAGAGAACATTATTAATCAGTAATTCTATTTGTAGTATCACTACTATAGTAAATAGTGTAGAATTTAAAGCACTATTGAAAAAAGAAATTACACAACTACCGGACAGCTTCAGACCACAATACATGGATTATTGACTTGTACAGATTAAACTCTTAGGTACTGGACATTACTTACATAAACAATGGAGGTTTGTGATAGGGCAAAACTTTCAATAAAACTCATTTACAGTGGCAGAACCATGCCTACCAGACTAATACAAATCATAAGAAAGCAAGGAAGACATTACAATAGTAAATATATGGTGGGCCCAGGCCACCATTCATTGGGCACCCACCAAGCAATAAATCTGAACTAAAGTTTAAGGACTACCAAATCCATGTCCTTGAAATAGCAGTGATCTGCAGTTTCTCACACTAGGGCATTTCAGCTTTATGTCCAAGGGGCTATGCCAGTTCCTTTCAATCTACTATAGGTGAATTTGAGGTAAATCAGAGAGATTCATGTTAAACCCATAATTAAGGCCCAGGAACAATCAGATACTGGGCAGGGTTGAAGCACAGTGACAAGTGGGGAGAATAGAAGGTCAACAGTTACCTGCTCACTATGATGTAAGTTTGTGTACACTTCTTCATTCCCAGCAAACTGGCCTGTGTAGACACTTACAAACGAGAGTTCATGGTCACAGCCAACAGTGGATTCATTTCTCTGGGATCGTTCTTCATACTGATCATCTCCTATATTTTTATTCTGATCACAGTTTGGAAACACTCCTCAAGTGGTTCATCCAAGGCTCTGTCCACTTTATCAACTCACATCATGGTGGTGATTTTGTTCTTTGGCCCTTGCATCTTTGTTTAAACCTGGCCTCAAGCTACATCACACGTAGATATCACATCTTGCCATTTTTGGTGTAGTTCTCACTCCTTTCCTAAGTTCAGTAATCTTCACATTCAGAAACAAAGACATGAAGATGGCAGTGAGGAGAATATGCAGTCAACTCTTTGTTTACTGAAGGATTTCTTAAATGGTAAAAGTATTGCAAAATTTCCCTTCTATCTTGGTGTAACATTAAATCTATATACTTTCAAAAGGAGAAGCTTCTATATATTAATTCTATTTAGGTGCTCCCAGTTAACATTCCTCTTGAAAAGCCTTAATGAAGATTTTGTGTTGCTTGTTTACTGTTGACTGAAGCATGTAGTGGGATAGAACACATCTCCTGTAGAAATGTAATTTTTTTTAAAATCTCTGAACACATTGGTTTGGTGAATTACCATAGTCCACGCCTCAAAATTGTATCTTTTCTCTAACAGAGTAGGCTATATTAGTAACTGTGGATTGCCACAGGTGGAAGTACATATTCAAGATGCCAACGGATTCATTTGTCACAAAGTATTTGTCAAGTGGTCTGGATTCCTACTTGGTCCTAATTCATTCTTTTAGAACAGGGCAGCTTCTGGGAAGCAAAGCTTTAATGAAAGCATTAATGAGCAAGGAATTGGAGCAAAACAAGTTAGCTGGGTTACTTAAATATTTAATTATATCAGGTTTGGTTTAATGCCTGTATTTCCACTGGTTTAATGCCTGTATTTCCACATAATGAAAGGAAAAATATGATCCTTAGGTCATATTTGACTAAAGGTCAATATGATCCTCTAGTCTGGTCAGTGCTGGCTCATCAGCATAAATTTTATCTTTGACTCTTACCCTGTTACAGACTGTCCTGTTTCCACTCTATCTTTTATCTTCAAAGACACTCGCTTCTTTTTTATTTAGGGACATTCCTTATGTACACATGTAACCGAAGTTCTTTTATTTAATCCTGCTCATATAAGACTATTACTATTGACTTTGTATAATTTCTGTCACTCTAAGGTAATTCTTAGTTTTGAAAGTGTTTTATATATAACCCTATTCCATTCTATAAAATAAGGGATTCAATTAAAGATCAGAGATTTACAAACTATAATTTATATCCATTTTAACAGAAGATGATCAAAATGATTCTCAGATAGAGATGCAGCATAAAGGATTCTAAATCTTTATATAAAGATTTATATAAAACATTTGATTAAATTTAACATTATTTATATTGTGTTATGTGATCTTTATTTTGCATCACTATTTTTCACACTTCATAATTTGCTTCCATTTCCTTTAGAGCATTAATTATTTTTGAGTCCATTTTCATGTAGTTGAAAAACTGGTATATGTCACTTTTTGGTAGCCATCCTTCATACTTAGCCTTCCAATATCCGATCTAGTGTCATTGAGTCACTTCTGACTCATCGTGGTTTTACAGGGCAGGGTACAGCTACCAGTGTTGATTTCTGAGGTGTTGGAACTCTATCGGCACAGAAAGTCTCACCTTCCTCCCAAGGAGGGGCTAGAGGATTTAAATCGCTGACCTCACAGTTAGCAGCTCAATAAGGAATCAGGGCTCCTTCATGTTTACTTTAAGCTTCCTAATAAATTATTTGAAAAAGTAAAATTTGCATATTGGATAATTCCACTGCCTTATTTCGTTCCTTAATTTAACATTCAGTAGGTCCTTGCAGGGTTCCCCAAATTTCTTATTGTTTGTGTGTACATTTAAAAGACTGCCTGTTCCTCTAGTCCTTGTCCATCCTCTCAAGTTTCTATCTGTGACTGATGAAATCCTTAGACATATAATGACTGAGGATATTACTATTTAACCTAACACCTGATTATAGACCTTTCTTTCTAGCCTAAAGAAGTAACCCCTATGTACCCATCTATTCCATGTCCTACCCAAATGAGCAAGCTCTTTCTTCGGGTAGATGTACTTACCGCTTGTACTAACCATGTGTTATGATTGAAAGAAGACAACTTGTCGCTTGTTCCTCTCTGTTAATTACTGATTGGTCAAAAGTTGGGCTTTTGAACTGAGTCATAATGGCATCTCCTTGTCCACTCTGAATACTACAAGCTCTGAGCCCAGATCAAAATGGATCATTCTGAGCTTTCCCCCAGAATGTTTAGACTTGAAAACAAAAAGTAAAGTTCAGTCCTTTTTGAAATTGTGGGTATAGAACACATTAGCGGTAATATCTTCTGCTTCCAAAAATCTAATACCGGATAATAAAGAAGAACATGAGAGAAAAAATGTATAGAGTTGAAAGACAGCAACTTTTTGATATTCAAGTTTTTGGTCCCAGCTATCTTGAACATTCACCTTTACCCTTGTCCCCACATAGTTTGGTTACTATGATAATAAAGGCATCATCTTGCTTGAGTTTAAGTTGTGCTTCTTTTACATGCAATCAGAAGGCCATTGATACAGCTCAGATCTTAATGTTACTTACTGTATTTTAAATAACACTTGATGTAAAACTTTCCATGGTTTCTCTATTTCTTTAAGAAAATATTCTGTTTATT